TTCATATTCCTACTCAGCCATGGAACCCTACTGGGTGACCTTGGACAAATCACATGCTTTAAGCCTCACAGGAACAAAATGGCATACCTCCTCAAAACAAATCTTGCCAAGAAAACCCCAAGATAGGTTCACTTTAACGTTGTCATAAATAGAAATGACTTGAAAGCACACAACATAAGTACAGGTGCAGATTTAGATATAAGAATGATAACTTAAATACAAATACAGCTTACCACACCACTGGAGATCAGACTTTGACCAGATGATGTGTGGGCCAGCTGCTCAGTCTGCTGTCCAGGTACTAGCTCCAGGTGGGGAACTTCAACACCTTTGTTATCTGTTCTTTAGCTCTAAATCAGAATTGGACTGTCCTCTGACCCCCGTTCAAGTAGAAAGCTGTCTTCTGTAGAATCTTGTGCACAGCTCTTCCACCATGGCTTAACATGCTGTGTAGGAGATGCTGGTGATAGCAGCCAGGATAATTGTGCTGAGGTAGAAAGTAGACTTTAAGGGCTAGATGGTTAGGCAGAGTGAAGAAGCTGGATTCCTTCTTCAGCTTGGATAGAATCAGGAGATGAATATTTGTGGCAACCATTACAAGCCCACGAGTTTTCTATATTTGAGTTATGGAATTATGAGTTGTGAGTTAGCCACATCACTATCCCAAATGAAAAACTTTAGTGAGTGCTTTGTCTCTTAAACACAATTCTAAACCACAGTTTGAAGTAGACTTGCACGTTGTGGCATGAAAGTTATTCAGACTTTGTGGCAATCTGTTGTTAGTAAAGAGTCAATATGCATGTGAAAGGGAAGAGAGAGAGCTAGATCTGAGTAGCTGGGAGAGGAAAGGATGTAGCAGCCATCTCCCACAACACAACACAGTGCTACTGTGTGGTACCCTTTTGTGTTGGAAAGCACACAAAATGCACACTAGCACTGGTACTCTGATGATAAAGCGTGCTCCCCAGATCCTTCAGCAGTGCAGATGGAATACCATGCAAATGTGGTTGGGGAATGAGCCAGATATGTGTATCTAAGGTAGATCCAAAATTGCTCCCTATGGAGCTGGAGCAGTCAACTGTGGTTCTAGGAATGCTTCTATCCAGCAATTCCCATTAGCCCTAGCCATCATTGTTAATGGATGCACTCATGGGAATCAAAATCCAGAAGCATCTGGAGGACCATAGTTGTTTGCCCTTGCTGCAAAAGCACCCCAAAATACACCTTAAAAATAATGGAAGACAAGCAGTGGTCCTTTGGTCTGAATCTACAAGAGGGCTTAAATATCAGCTTGTGACTTTTTACATAATCAGATTTGGCTTTTGGTTTAACTCCCTGTTCATATCCACTAAGAGTAAGTAGAAAGCACTGCAGAAGTTAACTGGGAAGCAGCCAGGGAAATCAAACCTAATACCCAACCCAACAGCCTGGGCTGATTTCATTGTGGCCACGGAAACAAGAAAGAAAGTGGTGGAATGATATCTCATTGTCAGGCAGCTAAGCTGTTAGAGGTTATGAGATTCTTTTATTGCACTAATTTGCTGGACGATGCACTGACAATCTCTCCCTGTTGCACAGAGAATATATAAATTATGCCTGCAGGACGATTAACTGTTTGTCCAGGCTAATTGTCAGCATTAAATCTTGCTCAGTCACAATTTTAAAGCTCAATTTAAACTCTCTATCTTTAAGAAAGCTTTACTCCCACTTCCTACTCCCCCTCCCCAATGGGTACGTGCTACACACACACACAACCACAAGGGGAAAAAATAATAAAGATTTAATGGTTTAAGTCAGCTTCTCTTGTAGCGGCTAAAGTTATAATTGGGTGTGTGTATAACCAAAGCATCCACAGATGACAATCCTGCTGTGTTTCCCTTTCCCTTGGCCACTAATGCTTATTTCAAATCCTATTGTCTTTCCTACTATGTATTAATTTCTGAATTATGGATTATTGTTCAGAGACCTCAGAGTCGGAGCAATTCCCCACCTCTATTACTGCATAAATCTTTCTTTGCTGTCTGCCACTCTGCTTAAAATGGCCATGAGTCATCCTGAAAGATGGAGAAAACAAGAAGGAAGAACACATTTCCTCTCCCTATAACCGTATTCAAAAGCAGAGAGGACTTAGTGGACCTTGTGCCCCAGCTGGGTTTCAGAGGGCAAGCAGCCCCATCTGCAGAGAGCTGCACCAAATGATTGCTGTTCTTATAGCGGACCTGAATCAGTAGTCAGGGGAAGATAGCGCTCACTGAAAGGATAACAGGCAGCCATGGCAATACACTCCCTGAGCTCTTGTTGGAGTTTTCAATGCATATACAATGAATGAGCATGAAAGGACAAGTAGAAGCTTTGCTCCCAACCCCACCCTTAATGTACACACATTCACTCTCCTGCCTGAAGACACCTCCATAGATTCAGTTGTATGCATGAAGGTCTCCTCTCCATGCATTCAGAAATCCTGGAGATGCAAAGTTTCTCCACAGGCAGAACAGACGGGCATCTGGTGGCTTCCATGCCAGTGGGGTGGCATACATCCTTACTGGTACACACATCTAATACTGTAATTATTGGCAGAGGAGGAGAAATCACAAAATAAAGAAGCACTTAGAAATGAGTGGTATAGAGCTAGCATGGTGGTTTGAGCTTTGGACAGACTCAGGAGACCTGGGTTCAAATCCCCACTTGACCATGGAAATCCACTGAGTGACCTTAAACAAATCACACTATCCCAGGCTCAGAGGGAGGCAAAGGCAGCCCCTCTCTGAACAAATCTTGCCAAGAAAACCCTATGATAATTTTGCCTTGGGGTCACCATAAGTTAGAAGGTACACAACATAAGGCACACAACAAGAGAAATGTTGGTGTCTGTTGCCTAGGAGAGCAGAGATCTGGGCCATTTCTTTTTATAGAATAGCACTATGATTTCATTTTGATTGTCATGCAAATATCCTGAGGAATTCTGGAATTTGAAGTTTGGAGAGACACTAGAGCTGCCTGGATGAGAATTCTAAATATCCTTCAGTAAATATCAGTATTTCTACTGCCTAGTACAAGCATAAGGACATTGTCATACAAGCTCTGTTCTCGCCACAATCACACTAATTAATGAAAATGCAAACATACCAGTTTGTGTGCAGCGATTATCACATGTCTTCACAATCATGTGACTGGGGCTGCTGCCACCATTGTGCTTTCTTCCAGACACCCACTTAACCCCTCTTCCCTGCCCTATGCCCTATCCAGCGTGCCTTTTGTTTTGTTGTTTAAATTTAATTTAATTTGTTACTTTTTCTGCAGTTCTGGTAATGCAATACATTTTTTAAACACACACACACATATATATGCACACATGCACATATACACATACAAAAAAGGGCAAATCAGGCTGCTTGGGAATAACAAGAGGAAAGGGGGAGGAGCAGACTGTGACACCGTGCAACTGCTAATAGTGCAGCTGCCATAGCAATGATGTTTTGCACTGGAGGAATACTGGGACTGCTGCACAATTGGGTGCTATTCATGAGTTTCCCCCATCAATGAAAAGGAACACTCTAACTACAACAGCAGTTATGGATAAGAGATGATGTTTACCAACGACATTGTTTTATTACTATAGCTGTGGTTTAAAAGCAATGTGTGTAATCTCCTAAGAGTGCCAGTTCAGTCACTTTCTCCACTGATGTTTTTCCAATGAAACAAACAGAATCTATTCAATGAAGCTCTTGCCCTTTGAATTTTAGGTCATCTATTTCATTCTGATGTCTTCCCCTGTTTTTACCATTGAAGAAAAACCACTTTTACTGTCATTAATGAATAGAAATAGCTAAACTAACTTAGAGGCTATGCAGACGGGTGGCTCTGGGTCGCCCCTGCTAGCTGTTGATCAGGGCTGTGGCAAACACATGCCGTGGCCCTCATCCTTCCTTTTGCCACTCCTAAAAGACCCTAAGAGCTAGTGCCGTAGCTCTTCCATGCCCTTTCAGTGTAGCGTGTCTGCATGCTGTGCCAGGAGGGTGTCCTGACACTATGCATGCATAAGGGTGTGCTGCATCAGGACGGTATCGAGCTGGGGTTGGAGTGGCCGGTGTGTGGCTGCTCCATCCAATTCCACCCCCAGGCCGGCCCTTTGGGTTGGTCTGCATAGCCCCTGTATGGAGGGTGGTTCTACTGCATGGATAGATGTGGAACTGGTCACTTAATCTCCAAACATTCTCCAGCATTGCAGGAGAGAGCAGGCTGGATAAAGTTAAACAGAGCAGAAGATGGAAGAAATCTATGGGTTGGCTATGCACATGTTATTAGCATGTGAATGAGATGAGTGTATAAGTGCAGCATGCATTTCACTGTTACTTCTGAGTAAGCATCCATGAGGTCACTTACTGGATATTCTGAGGATATAGAAAGAAAATGCTCAGAACATGTTGCCCATGATTACTCAAAATAATCCAGTATTCTTACTTCTGAGTAGATATGCACAGATTTTTTTATACTGAACTGTCACTCACTATTACAGATTTACAAGTCTGTTCATTATGTTTCCTTTCACAATGGAGCACCACTACTACTGTTTTTCAGATCATTTTTAAAACAGCAATGGACACCTTGAGCACCCAGTGGAGACAAACAGACACATGCATTCAGTGCCCTAATCACCAGAATCACAAAACCCCTTCACTCAGTTTAGCTGTTTGGCTTTTGAGGTGAATTTCAGAAGGTTAGACTGGGAGACAGTGTGTAGCTATGACACTGTAATTGTGTGTCCTGTGAAGAATCTCAGCCAAAGTATTTAACATTTCCTAACACATTCCCAGTTAATCTAGTTTAGTGGAGCAGCTTGTTGTTGCTGTGTGCCTTCAAGTTGTTTCCAATTTATGGTGATCCTAAGGCATACCTATCATGGGGTTTTCTTGGCAAGTTTCTTCGGAGGGGGGGTTGTAATTGCCATCCTCTGAGGCTGAGAGAGAGTGACTTGCCCAAAGTCATTTAGTGGGTTTACATGGCTGAGCTGGGATTTGAATCCTGGTCTACAGAGTCATAGCCTAGTGCTCAACCCATTACACCACACTGGCTGTCATCAGTAGAGTGGCTCCAGTGTCCTAAAATCATTTTGACTTTTTTTAAAAATAGAGTTGGCGACTATACAATTTTACAAAATTGGTGAAAATGTCAACATTGGTATGGTGTAGTGGTTTGAGCATTAGACTATGATTCTGCAGATCATGGTTTGAATCCCCCAGCTCAGCTATGTAAACCCACTGGCTGACCTTGGGCAAGCCACAGTCTCTCAACCTCACATGGAAGCAATGACAAATTCCTCTGAACTTGCCAAGAAAACCTCATGATAACCCTTAGGGACGCCATAAGTCAGAAACCACTTGAAGGCACACAACAACAGCAACAACAAGAAGAAGCCTAGCTCAGATCAAAGTTTGAATCTTTCTTCCATCCAGACCCTGAAACTTCTAATTAGAGAGCACAAACAAGTGTCAGACTTCCCTGAGCCAAGCCCTTTCTCCACTCAGGGTCTTGAACTTCCATTCGATTCTCCAGGCCTCCTAAACCCAAAGGGCAGGACTGCTAAGAAATGGGGAGATTTTCAGATGGTCAGGATGAGTGGAAAAGAAGAACTCCACTGCATTCTCTGTTTAATATCTGAGGAGAGAAAACCATAAAAATACTCCCAAATTTGGTTACTCCCAAATTGATTTCTTCCTTTTCAAATAGACTCTCTTACATCCTCCAGTAGATATGAATCTGTATGGATTTCAGCTATGGATATGAAAAAAATTCTCCAAGGAAGGAGATAATGACAGGCAGGGGAGGAAAGATACTACTTTTCCTCCAGATTTTACTATCTAGGATAGGCCTCTGCATTAGGGATGCAAAGGACACTTGCAATTTTTCTCAACCTCAGCAGGAAAGAGAATCTTGACACATCAAGGTAACTCTTTGTGGAAATGGTCAACTATTGGAAGATTATTCGTAATTTGGGTTTTTTGTGAAAAATTGTTTCCAAAATTTGTTTTGTGTGAAAGCTAATCTTCCCTGCACAGAACTTTGTTCAAAATATTGTTTTTGCACATGAATTCTTTGCCCAAAAAGTCTCAAAATAAGGAATTTGCAAAACACTGTTTTTTTAAAATTGTTCAAGAAATGCCCCCCAAAAAATTTTTGCACAGAAAGAGGTGGACTTTGTGCAAAATACCCCCATTTTCTGCAAAACAAAAACCCACTAAAACATTGTTTTGCACAGGAATTGTTTTGCACAGAAATTCTTTTCATTTTTAAAAGCCCACAAAATTGTACAAGATCATGCAAGAATTCTTGTAATTTCACCTAGTAGGAAGAAAACATTTGAAATTATTCATTCTTACATGCAACAAATAAGAACAATATAAGTGAAAATGTGCGTTCCTACTTTGAAAATGGAGCAAGCTCTGCTGCCTGGCAGTCTCCCTAAAATGAAATAAAAATAAGTGGAATGTTCATTTTCTAAACATTTTTATTGTTTCTGGCATCCTATCCAGATATAACTGGTAAAATACTAATAACTGCTACTTATAGTAACAGCAGCTGCACCATCAAGAACAACAATGAGGGGCCTATTATAACACAACTACACTATTATAGCACTATGATCCAATTTTATCTGCCATGGCTGAATATCCGATAGAATCCTGGGGTCTGTAGTTTGTGCAGAGCACCAGAAGAACTCCCTAGCTGAAGATTTTAAATGCCTTTCCCTCAGCTGCCAATCCCAATATTCCACAGGATGTTGCCATGACATTTAAAGTGGACTAATAGAAGTGTGGATGTAGTGTGAATAGTTCTGTAGTGTAGCCTTTGACTGCATAGATCACAAAAAGCTATGGAAAGCTCTTAGAGAAACGGGAATGCCATTGTATTTGACAGTCCTGGGGGATTTTTTGGAGATGTCTTATCCATAGGGTCGCCATGAGTTGGAGTTGAATTGAGGGTAGTTAACAACAAAACAATAACAATAAAGTGTGAATGAGCCCCAGAGCTGGGTAGTTTGAACCTTCTCTTTATGACAACCATGGAAAATAAGGCTCTTCAGATTTTGTTGGAGTACAGATCCCACCATTTCTCCCTGGTAGCTGTGCTGCTGAAGGATGCTGAAAGTTACAGCAACAGCTTCTGAAGGGCCACAGCTGCCCCATTCCCCCATTGTTTTCAAATAAAATGTGGCCCCTTCCCCTTCTCTATCCCTGTTCTCCATGAACCATTCTCCACCCTATAGCTCTTCATGACACTGTTAGCACTGCATGGAGAGAGGGCCAAAGGCTTGGCTAAAAATTGAACGGATGACCTTCTGCATCAAAGGTGAGAGATGTGATCAAACGAACAGCCCCAACATCCCATGTAGCTCTTAGACACTTTAATTGCTGTGAGAGAAAGAGCAGCTTCCCCATATTACTGTGGATGCTGAATGGTAGAGCACCCAGGGGTTTCACTCGAGAGCAGCAAAAGGTGAACGGATCGATGGGCAGCAGAAGAAAATAGCCACCCGGGAGTTGGGAGGGAAAAGGCTCCTTGCTAATCTTGCTGCACTTGACAACTTACAGAGCAGCAAAAGGGCTTCTGCCTCTTTGCCTGTTCTGTGAGTGCTCTCTTTGATACTGACAGCTTCTCTCATTTCTGCCTGCTTTTACAAAATTAGGCAAGCAAGAGGTTGCCAGGAAGAAAAGGCCAAGAGACTCAGAAAACTGCAGGTAGAAATTCTGTGGAGATGGGAAAGCCCTCAAAGCTAAGCGGTAGTTAGCTAGCCAGCCCCATCAAAAATCACTTTTGCTCACACTTCACTGGGTCAGACAAATGGTCTCTTCCATCTATGATGGGGAGTCAGTTCCAGACACTTCAGAAGAATTCTGTAACAGAACTGTACAAGGAGAAATTCTTCATTTGCTGCCAGTTATATCAATCTTCCTGCACTCTGTGAGGCAAACTATATGTGGTTCACATAAATATGATGTTTTTTTAAAAAAGCTATAGTGGGTATAGAGATGGATTGAAAATGGAGGAGAAGCAGGGAAGGAAGGGATGTTTTACCACTATTATTCTGCTCACCAAGCAACTTTTCCATCCCACCCCCACCCCGAAAGGCTATCTACCTCACATTTCTAGCATGAATATGTTCTCTCATATATCAAGATCAAATTTGGAATGAAGCCACCATCAAAGCCACGTTCTCAAAACCACCTTTGAAGCTACTTTAAAACTGTAGAATCATAGGATCCTAGAGCTGGAAAGAACCACAAAGGCCATCTAATCCAATTCACTGCTATGCAGGGATACACAACCGAAAGATGTCTAACCAACCTCTGTTTAAAGGCATACAAACAGAGAGTCCACCAACCTTTTCACATACAATGTCTTGCCTGACAAATTATACCTGCTCTCTAAAACATCTCCCCTCCCTTTCAGTTCTGCTAACCCAAATGCTCCCTTCATCCTGTTAATGGCATCTTCTTCTCACCCTTGCATCATTGCTTCTAAAGATGGTATTGGTAGGGATATTTTTGACTACAATGGGAAACTTCTAATGTCTATACTAGCCTTCCCCAACTATCTGTCCACTGGTTATATTGGACACCAGACACCATCCATCCCATCCATTATAGCTGAGGGTCATAGAATCATAGATTTGGATGGGGTCCCATAGTCCACTGACTCGAACCCCTTGCTCAATGCAGGATCTCTAGCTTAAGCATCCCCAGCAAGTAGCTGTCCAGTTTCTATTTGAAGACGTCCATAGAAAGAGGCATCAACACCTCTCTGGAGGGAGTTGGGTTGAGGAAGGCTGATTTACAGAATTAGGCACCTGCATTGTTGTTTCGATAGGTTGTGCAGGGGTGGTGTGTGTGAGAGATTTCAGTTCCAGATGCCAAGCTGAACCACTTTCTCTACTGAGCTAACAACATGGCAATACATTTCTTTGTTTGGTCATTCTTGCCTACATGCACATTCCAGACATCCAGATGGGCTTAGGCATTGCTTTCATTTTTGACAGTATGAAGAAAAGGTGTTTATGGTTCAGCAAATTTTCTCCTGGCATATAGAGTAAAAGTTCAGATTTATTTTTTCATACTGCAACTTAGAGATTCAGCCACTATATGCTTAGATGCAAAGAATCTTAATCCCAAGAATTTGTTTTGGGAACCAGAATAGAGCTCACACTTCTTCTACACATACATTCACACCTAGGTACCCCATTATAGCAGAAGTGACTCCATTTCAGCAATATAGCTTAAGAGGGGAGATATATTTTGTTATTGTGATTATTAAAAAAATAATAGCTAGAAATCCTTACTGTTGTTGTTAGTTGCCCTCAAGTTGGTTCCAACTCATGGTGACCCTGTGGATGAGACATCTCCAAGAATCCCTATCTTCCATTGCCTTGCCCAAATCCTGCACGCCCTTGCCCATAACCCCCCTGATCAAATCTATCCATCTGATTTGTGGTCTTCCTCTCTTTCTGATTTTAGTGCTCAGTTGTATGTCGTTGTTCTTCAGTATCTTTTCCAGTTCTTTCATAACTGTCCTTCCCATTCCTAGTCTTCTTATTTCTTGACTGCAGTCTCCATTCTGGTCAATGTTTGATCCTAGACATGGGAATTCTTTAACTATTTCAATTTCCTCATTGTCTAGATTGAATGTGTGTATTTTGTAGTCATTATTTATGTTTTCTTTATGTTCAGCATCAGACCTGTCTTTACACTTTCATCTTTGATTTTCCTTATTAACTGTTCCAATTCCTGAATGTTTTCTGCTAATAATATGGTGTCGTCTGCATATCTTGGGTTATTAATGTTGTTTCCTCCTATCTTAACTCCTCCTTTTTCTTATTCTAATCCTGCTTTTTTTATGATGTTTTCAGCATATAAGTTAAACAAGTGGGGTAATAGGATGCATTTTGTCTGACTTCTTTACCTATTGGGCACCACTCTCTTTCCCCAAATTCTCTTCTGATGGTGGTCTCTTGTCCTTGGTACAGATTCCTCATTAGAACTATCAGATGTAGTGGCACCCCCATGTCTTTGAGTGCATT